ATTCATTTTTCACCGGTAGTTTCAACCGCTATTATCTATGGAATTTTAGGGTATCTACCGCCTACTTGACTTCTCGACATTTGGTGAATATTTTCCCCGCAGAGCAGGCCTGCGGGCGCTTGAAAATATGGTAGTATATGGGTTGAGGTCAGGTGAGTATGTGGGAAGCGGGGTGGTCAGTTATACCAAGTCTTTAAAGCCCATCCATGGACATCCTTGCGTGGGCTGGCCGAGCGTCATCCATCACAATCGAAAATTTCATTGTAATCAGTGTGAAATGGGATTTCAACCACCATCTCTCTCAGCCGGTAATAATAGGATACTCCTGCATTCACCGCAGTACACTCCGGTAGATCTCCCAGTGAAGCATATAGCAGGCTGTGGCCTTGTGGTAGGCATTGCGATTTCCTGTAAGGATTTTTATATGACATCTACTTTTTGTCCTGAGCAATGATGAAGTCGTTTGATGCCGTTGTTCGCCTACAGTTGAGGAGGTTCCGACACGCACTGATACGCATTCAAGCTCCTACTCAGCCAAAGAGTGGGCTATGTTTCCAAAGAGTACTTTGGCATAGAACGTCATGAAAGACGGATTAGGGAGCAGAGATCGTCTAATGATTAGGAGGACAACCAAGCAATTGTTCGTCATTCTTCATTCGAAGTTCAAGCCCACTAGGACATCGAACCAAATATTGTTGAACTAACATCTATAAGAAGCTTTTTGATGGCAAAAGAAAGAGAGGAGAAGAAAGAATAAGAGAGAGGGTGAGAGAGTTATGAAAGAAAAAAGATCTCAATACGTGGCTGTTTTTCTGCTGCTCTCACGTTCTGAAAGAAAGGGTCACTAATAAGCATTTTCTAGCAGAGAGTAGCAAAAAACCAAACACTGCTTCCGAAGGCCTTTTGCAGAAATGCACATCCCCTTATGAAAGTCGTTGAACCTAGACGAGAAAATTTAGGATCATCTTGGGCAATTTCAAGGTCACTACAGCGATGCATGAGTACAGCGACATCACCCTTCTCTTGGCGCACTATCACACATACGGTCCGCGGATTGAATCCTGGCTCGGACACTCGTCTAAGCCAACCAGGCCTTCTGTTCCCCCGAATCTTTTCATTGGTGTCAAGCTAATCAGGTGGATTTTGAATGGAAGTCGAATGCGGAAGGTCATCTAATTATAAACTAAGAAAAGCTAATAGAACATCTTTTCGAGGCATATCGCCAGGTTAACGAACCAAAAGGTATCAGCAGTCAGATCCACTAAGCTAATTCAGAGTTTGCTTTCAAAATGACTCGATTCATCTGTAATTTCGCCAAGTGGTATCCAAAAAGATCAAAAAATGACTGATATATAATGAAATGGTGGACAAGCTCTTTGACACATCCAAGTTCTGCGGTGAGGGTATACAGCTATATATTGAGCTTTACGACTTCCATAGTTCTTCCCCAGACTTTGCGATGTCTTAATCTATGGCTGTGTACGATTCGGACACAATATCTCCACGAACGATTTCTCTCCAACCGAAATCATTGAAAATATGTTGAATGTGTAACAACTCGATCGGATGCGAACTTTGACACATATCAATTGTGAAGACTTTCGGGGAAGGAAAGATTCAGGTGCGCCGTTTCATTGCGACTCTCCAACTAGGCCACGCTCTCTCCCCGTCACACCGAACGGGATCAGGCTACCGGCACAGGCGTGGCCACACACCCAATGAGGACACGCGCGACACCACCGCACGAGCTGCCAATCCTTGAGATCACCTAATCATATACATATTTCATCTATAATTCATACTGATTCGTCATCATTATTAGCTGATCAAGTTGAGCCACATGAGGCTGTTCGTGGCCGCAGTCGTCGCTGTGCAAGCGATTATAGTGGACACCCGGCAAGCTGGATCCGTGCCTGGTTGTCCGGACCTGGACGTATTAGAGGCTGAAGTCGATACGAGTGCTGATTTCTTAAACAATTTATTGTTATGCTTTTGTAAGGTAATTATTTTTCCTTTTGAATCTCGAACAGACCTAATTTTGATATACTTGCTAAAAAATAATGGCCATGGTGATCAGCTGCTTCTTTCACTAACTGAACACTCAGTAGCATGCAGATATCTAACACTTCGATTTTATCTCACACTTCTCTTTTCTTTTTTTTTGCACCAAACCGTTGGCAGTTTTAAATTTTCATGATAACGCAATTCACTAGGTTCAAGATAAGGGCAAAGTCGACATCTCCTGTCTGTATGGTTCCAGTCTAGAACACCTTGAAAAAGCTACTGAAGCAGTGAAAAAGGCGAATTTCTCGACCAATAAGGTACATCCCAGCTATAAATCATCAGATATCCACTACTTCCACCTTTTAGATCAGTTTTCAACACACCGAGTTTGCTGACTCCGGCTTGCCATCATTCGTTGAACTTGCACCTGCACTTACAAGCCTAGAAATTCGCGAATGTACGAATTTCGAGCCATTGGTCGTTCCAGAAAACACTTTCAAGGGCTTGGAAACCACATTAAAGAATCTTATTATCGATTCTTGTGGTTTGAAGGTGAGTCATACGTGAGGTGGAATAGCTCGTCTTCATCCGCACGGCGGCCGGTTTCTTGCATGACACCGCATCGCGCACCTCCGTTTTCACCAAAACTTTGCAAATCGAGGAGAAAACTTTCTAAAGCGTAAACAAACCAGGATCCAACGCCCATGATCTCTTTTCGTTTTAGGAAATCCCATCCGCCATCACAGACCTGAATCAACTTGAAACCCTCATCTTGTCAAATAATAAAATCGAGCACGTCCACGCGCCGAGGCTTGTTAAGAAGAAGAACGTGAGTTCCGTCAAGCAAATAATCCCCATTCCGAGGAATTATCTATTGTTAACAGTCTTAATGTCACCTAGGAAAATCACTAGTCACCAACATTCTTTCACTGCTGTTCCTCTTTCCCTTGACAATGAAAGCTTTCTGCAGCTATCAAAACCTACTACAAAGCTAGATCAACATCTCTGATATCGATTTTTGGGGAGATTGATCTTGGCGGCGTCAAAACGTCCTCGATTTCCTTGTCTCCCTATCCGATAACGCTTGTGTCGCATATCCTATTTGGGAAAGACGATTTCTCCGACTTCACAACGATCTCAGAGTACGACTGTAGCGGAATCAGACCAATGCCTTGAAATTGATTCGACCTCATTCGATCAATTTACTGATGTCACGTAGCAAAAGTCTGACTTGATCTGGCTCCCATTCAATGGTTGTAGTTTCCCGCAAAGAATGGGAGCTCCATATATCTCTTTGGAGCTTTGTTGTGGAACTCACTAACATCTGCTGAGAAAACTTCTGTATTACAGGAATTCTTTTCGCTGCGCCATGAAATGAATTAACTTTATATATACTGGGATAGTAAAAAGAGTAGGCGAGGGCTGCTGCTGGGGGCAAACATATCTTCGCTTCTGGAGACCGTGAATGTAACTTCAGGTCATGGCTCATTCTAAGGTACTAACTAAAGCGACTAAACTTTCGACATCTAGGCTACAAGCGTTGAAATCATTGAAAAAGCATGTTCCGTTTATTTCATTGCAAAAACTGATACTGAAGGGATATTTCAGAAACGCTAGCTTCTCACTCGGTTGAGTGACCTGTTCAGGTGCAGCACCATTAGGACCATGCAACTTGAATTAATCTTCTTGCCCCCTTTTTAAATAGTTTTCTATGACCAGAGACGTTTCCAGTACAGTAGAGACAATCAAAGAGTCCATCTTTCGCTTTGAAGTTCAATTTGAACTAAAAACGGAACTATTATTTGCGATCTATTTTTGTACGTTCATCACAACAAAAAACGCTATCTCAAGATCTTTGATACCTTGCAAAACAACGGCGTCGAAATTAGCAGGTATGTACCATTCCCGATGAATTACGCTTTTGATAGTACTTTGACAGACCTCCCACCCACCCTACTTCTGGATTGTTGCCTATTTTCAGTATATTCCTGCAGTTGCCCTTATGTTAGGAAGGGAAGCATAAAGTGGTGTTTGTTGACTTGAGAGCCCAAGACACATCACTCCTTCAAGGCTTCCAGGGCCTCGATTGATCGGCATCTGTTTCGAAAAAATCAGCCTCTGAACCTTTACCTACAAACGTGTTGAGCAATACTTGCTCTACCAACTTGATTCAGCATTATCATCGACTTCACTTGAAGAACCACATTCCGAGTTTGGAATCTAGCGAAGGATTTCTCTCTTGTCAAACAGCAACAGTAACTACTTTAATAAAAAATACCAAATGGTAAAGATAAGAAGAACTGGGCACTTCCAATGCTATGCGGCCTACATTTTCATGGGCAAAATGCCCGCTGTTGGAGCAATGCCATGTGACACACTACGTTTCATGTTTGAGAAACGAAACCTAGCTGTTCAACAGATTCTTCCTTGCTCAGGCCGGAAAATCGGAACTAGGCTAGTCTGGGAGAATGAACGCACAGCACTGCAGTTTATTGTATAGGACGCAAGTATATGAAACCCGTTATGATCCCAAACGATGGCTGAATACGTGGGCACATCAGGAACGATCAAATCATAAACCTACTTTTGATAGCTTTGTGACCATTACTAGAAGCAAAGTGTTGACTCACCAGATCAATAGGAAAGGGAAGTTAACTAATCCGGATGGTAAATGCTGGGGTAAAAACACCATAGTACCCCACATGAAAAGAGAAAACTATTGCTTCATAAAGCAGTTTCATATAAACGTAAACAGGTCAATTAAAACGACGAAATTTTTTTCCTGACTTCTTGCCAAGCATTATTATTCACGAACTCTCTCCATGCTTCAGCTAAATTATCTCGATTTGTCCGGAAACTTCATCACCACTGTCGACGCTGGCTCCTTCGAACCGCTCCAAAAACTCGAAACTCTTGTATTTGGCGAGCGTAACTACATCAATGATTCCGTAGTAGAGGCTATAGTAACGCTCAAGTCGCTCAAGGTAACGGCAGCTCTTATGTTGGTGGAATTACGAACAGTCTTTTACTTTAATCTCACTATCGTTCAGACTCTCGACTTGTCTCGTGCCGATGGAATTTTCGAGCCACCCACGGAGATTTTCGAAGCGCTACCGCACCTCGAAGGGCTCAAGTTGAGTGGGTGTAGCATCTCATCACTAGAACCAGGAACTTTCGCGACGTTGAAAAATTTGAAGGAGGTAAACATTGTTGTGCGGCCGGGTTATCAACTATGCTCAGAAAATTTGGTATTTTATTCATGGTAAAGCGCACTTGTTACACTTTATTACTTTTGAAAATTTTGATGCAAATTCTAAACTTCATTCTAAATTTTCCTTAAAACCTTTTCTTTTAAATGCAAACGCTTAAACTCTATTGCCCCACCGTACATGGGAAACAGCTTACTTCTACCAATGAATCGACAGAAAAGTATCACAGGCTTCGTAAACAGAATTTATTTCACTCAAACCCAGTACTACGCCAAGTTCTACCCAGGCAGGTGGACCTTCTGATGCAAAAAAGGAGTTCAATAAAAGTAGAACACGTCAACCGATTACAATCGTCAGATTCCACGATAATTTCGAAAGATGTTTAAATAATGAATTTAGCTTTGAGTATGAGCACGCATGAAGAAATATAATTTTCTTACTCCTTTTTATTTGATTTTTTTGACTACTTGCTGATGATTACTTCCTACAACAACCGGTGAATAGCGCTGACTAGAAACAGTGATGCAGTATTCCTACACACCGAGTCATAGCAGATAAAGATGTTCAGAAAGGGATACTGGCAGTAGAGCATACTTGATGAACTCTGGTGAAAAGAACCAAATGATATTTCATTTCATTTTCATTTTATTTTTCTATCTCCACAGATATGTTGCCTACCTCACTACTGCTAATAAACGAACTAAGTAAGTGTACTAAGTGTAAGTATCAAATGTAACTGCAGACCATTACCCTATCAAGTTACAACTTAGTCCATTGTTAAAACTATCCTGAATCGCAGCATTTGGAGATGAATACAGTAAACCAGAATCGATTGCAGCTTGATCTACGAGTGAATCTCATTCAAAATGTCTCTGCGTATGCATTTGATGGGCTCTCTGAGCTGAACAGGCTTTCACTCGCTGGAAACTACATCAGGTAAGAAAGCAGCTATACTTGAACAGCTCCAAAATGTCGCGCCACTTCCGCCTGTCAATTACAATTCCTTTAATGGCATTGTCGTTGTAATTCCAAGATTCGTTTTCTCCCGAATGTAGCATCATGCGGTAATGCCGATGAATTCTTCATGATATGGGGTGACAGAGTGACAACAAGCACCTTTCAATCTTCTAACGTATGATGATCGGCATTCAATTTGCCTGTATATCCTTTCAACAATCTGTGTTCTTGGGTATCGAATGTTTCCGTTGGGTTCGAAACTTGGCACAGCTGGACGGTCCTGTAAGACGTCCTGGAAGCTTGATGCACCCATATTGGAGCCATCTTGTTTGGAGATCGAATTCAATATTTTTAAGGAGTATCGAAAAAGAAATCTGGACCGGATTGAACAAACTGAAGGAGATCGATCTTGGATGGAATGAGATTAAGCAGTTGTCACCCGATGCTTTTTTGCCGCTTGCTGACAACCTTGAGACGCTTAACATCCGCCATAACCCATTAAAGGACGTGAGTTTGTTCAGGCAGTAGTTCCGCACCCACCTTAATATTCACTTTTACGGTTTTCTGTTTAGGTGCCTCCATCTGGTCTCAAAAACTTGCGCTCACTATTTCTCAGCGAATGTCCAATTGAGAACCTTGGACCCGAGCTACTGAAGGACTATAATGCTTTAGAGGTTTGTTAGAAGTCTTTGAAATCATGAGGTTTACAAAAAGAAATCGAAAAGATATTACCGGAGAAGTGAACACAGATGAGAAAATGGAAAGAGTACAAGAAATGAACAGCGATGTTGGCCGCAGATTCGACGTAACGTTCGTTCATCCGCTTTTTATTTAGATGACTGGAGGTATTACAACGCTAAAACTTTCGAATGCGATGAACTGAGAGTTTATGAACTAAGCAAATTCGCTCAATGATAGCTTTATCAACGCCCGTAAACAGAGATCAGAACCACGTCGAATGCGTGTTTTGGCGTATAACAAAAGAGAGCTTATCCTCTTCTGTCCGAGAATAAAAAGCTGTGTAAAGAGGTCTACAGCGCGGTTTTTAGATAGAGATCAAACTAAAGAAAACAAGAGCTCTATGCTATGATGCCTATCGTCTCGATTTTTCAGCGGTGCGCTAGGCTTCCTCTACTGTACCCCACAAAAGTATATTGCTACTTGAAAAGAGACATGGTCTTCGTGGGCTTAACATAATTTCATATATCGTCATATGTTGTACACCTGTCCTCAATTCCCTCTATTGGCGCACTCAGTAGAGTGTATAAATAAATAAATAAATAAATAAATAAATAAAATATCAGGTTGATGCATAATTATTGCGGATTTTTCCCAACAGTGTCTATTTAAATAAACGATAAGAATACTTAACAAAGACATGTTCAAATCAATACTCCGAAACTTGTCCACCGCCTACGTCAAGCATTGCTTCCCATTTGCAAGGCAGTGGGATTCTACAGGCGAAGACTTTTTGGTTTTTGGAGGCGATCCAACGGCCATCAAGTCATCCTCCCCGTCGTAGGTTCTATTAGCTGACCAACTTCCCAACAATCGGTTGACCTGATGGTCCATAGAGTTTATATCGATTAATCGGATCTAAGAGTACACCCCATTCCTTTCTTGGCTTTGGCTGACTGTTGTATCCCGAAAAGTTCGTTGAGATCACGAAATGACTCTGCCAAATTCGAACTTTCTCGAAGTAGTAGAGCATAATGTGGCGGACATGGATATGACTTTCTAGAGCATTCCTGATAAGGAAAACGAAAAGAAGTCGCGAAAAAATCAAAAAAAAACTATGCATCAACCTATTAAAATAAACCTAAGGAATTATCGGAAACAGAAGAACAGAAATATGGGTTCTCGAGTGCCTTACAGATCCGAAAAAAAAGCCTCTGGATCTTGTTTGGCCCCTGGTCCAAATCTTCCGAAACCCAAGTGATCCAAAAATATACGTCGCACGTTTCGATGTTGTTTCTAACAACACAGAGGTACTCATGAATCCATTTCAATCGTTATAACCATGACTTTATGCAGCATACATCCCATCCATTTATGCGCCTATACATTTCGGGATTCACCAGTTGGGACTTCGAATGGGAGCAGAATTGTCCATATCTTTTGACATTTCCTCTAAGCTTTCAACTCGAACGGTCACAAGGGAGTCCGACAAATGTGACATACAAAGATATTTTCAGACACTCGATGTCGCCAAATGCAATCTGACAGAGCTCAAACCCGAGGCACTTGCCAGTCAAAAGCATTCCTTGAAGAATTTCCACATCCAGCGGAATCTCTTCAAAACGATCGATCCTAAGGTATGCTTTCCATTTTTCATTCATCCATTTTTTTGATAGCCATGCTCGGTTGTGAGGTTACCTTCCATTTTGTAATTCTAATCGAAGTACTTCTTTGTTCCTTTGTGTACCGTCTTTCCACAACTATTCTAAAAGCTTTGAAAAATATTTCCTCGTTAAAACTTCAGCTGGAAGGTTCCAGGAATTACCAGAGAGACAAATCCAAACTAATACTAAATTTCGGCAGATACTTGCCGCACACCTAATACTAGAATACTTCAGATCATTGAAGAACTCGAAGCGCTTGAGCAACTTGACATCTCTGGAAACCCGTTTCTCTGCGACTCGGAAATTTCGAAGCGTAAGCCTCTCGAACCAAACCCTACTATTCAAGTGAAGGACCTAAATCTATTTCCAGTTATCCTCGCCATCGAAGATCGGTTTAAAACTGCTGCCAAAGAGGGCAAGGAGTTCCTTCTTGCCAATGCAAATGATACTCTCTGTGACCGACCCTACACGCTACGACGTCAGCCGCTGTTAGACGTCAACTCCACAGAACTACAAGTTGGTTATCTCCCCCTCAAATCAGAGTGATGCTCGAAAACACTTCCATAGCACGAACACAAACAAGATTTTAGCCTTACGACGAAAAACTCGATACAACTACCTCAGTACTGACCACCACCATCGCAGCGTTGATGACCACTGCAGAAGATACCACGCCGTTTACTTTAGTAAGCAGTAGCTAGCCATTTTTCGAGACAGTGCAACAAAAGATTCTTCTTTTAGCCGGACCTTTTTGTTGGCACAGAAACCAACGACACTCTTTTCAAAGAGGAACCACGTCGTGAACTCTATGATCTCAACACAGCGAACGATCCAAAAAACGCTATGAAAGAGCAAGAAGGTAAAGTTTTGGTTGATGAACAGTTTCACTTAAAAAATTCTGGCTTTGTGGTTGACGATGAGGCAAAAAATTCTAGCAAAAAACTTCATAAGAAACCTTGATTTGGTGAGGCTGCATGGCGAGAAACTCGTTCAGCGGAACACCAGAGAAACATGTCATTCATTTGCAATGCGGTACAGATTACACCATTATGTTAGGCGTCTAGAGAGGTCGTGAAATTGAAAGGAAATCAAGCTTTTTTGTCACCATGCTCATCCTTCTGATTCTGTAGTATATTTACCCCACGATTTAAAAACATTGAGATGTAGGCAGATGCTGCCAACATCCCGGAAACCTTAACAAAAGCGAGGAGGATGCGGGTTCAGGTATCGAGGAGTCAGCATACGTCAAGTAAGAAATGAAGCTGACACCGCTTCGCTTTAGCAATCAAAATAACTCCAAAACGCTCCGTGACCTACTAATTTGTTTCAAGAAAACTGTAAATAGGAGGAATGCTCGACTCGTGCCCTTCAAGTGAATAGGACCCACGGTACAACACTGTTCTGGGAGTTCGACGAAGACTTCTGACATTTCGAGGGAATCGATGATTAGTGGACGAAAGATAACCTCTGTGATCCACAATCATATTCAAGAGCTGTACTGGAATTCGTTTCCGCGTGCTTATTTATGACCCTCCTACGTGAAAAAATCGAACAAAATATCAGGTAAAGAGAAATAAATTTCCGTTCTTCATTCGATTCGATACCAGTATAATGTATTCAAGAGAAATTCTGAATTTATTAAAAGTTTCTTAATAATCCACCTTAAACGAACTCAAACGATAAAAAAGTCTTTTCTCTCCAAAGGCTGCACTCATGATTCAGGACATCCTATCTGTGGAACAAATTTCGGCCAATAAGTGACGTAAGGTTTGTGGCATCAAAAAACGGTCTGCGTTAGACGCAAAAGCAGCTGAGGAACCTTTCAAATGCTTACCACCGACACAGCAGAACTGTTCAGAAAAGGGGTATATTCAAGGGTTTTTGTGAGTAGCCTCGTTTTCTTCGACCTCACAGTGAGAGGAATGATTTCTCAATAGTTAGGTGCCCTCGCTGGTAACTTTTACCTAAAAGGTTCTAGATTGAATGAGAAAGCGGATAACTGATTAGGAAAGGAAAGTAGTCAAGTTCTTTTTTGGGCGAAGTACGAAGCAAGTGACCTAAAAAAAAGTTTTCATTCCTAGTGCAAACGGAAACGTTGTTGTCTCAATAGATTGCCCGAGAACTCAGCGGCCCATTCTTGGTGGGGTTGCACCGAAGAGACAGAACTACTCTTGAGAACTACGGTGCCTCCTCAAAAGAACTTTGACGCCTAAGAAAGGAAGGACTACGTATAGGAAAAACCGCATCGATATGAGCAAAGATGGAACTCCGAAATACTGCTCAATATAATGAGCTAAGCATGCCTGCTGGTGTGTCGGTGAATATGTTTGATCAGCAATTCAACAATTCTTTTCTCGCAGATTTGTTTCATATTTGGCATTATTACAGCCAGCTGGAAAGCTGATGGGCAAATGAGCGATGGATCGCAGAATCTAGGTGACCAAAACCCTAACCCTTGATAGAGATTGATAAGGGACCTTAGAAGGCAGGAATCGCTGATTTGCTTACACGCTTTGTGTTATAACGGAATCCTTTACACATTAGTGTTTGATATGGGATGTGACGGTATTATTGACGGTATTACAATATAAATGAACTGATGATAGGAACTAGAGAGAGGAGAGAGCGGGGAACAAATCAGGGCTAATAATGGCTAATAGGTTACCAGTTTGGCTATGCACGCTAATGCGCGCAGTATATGTCGACGGCCACTTATTGACGATGGAGTCATTCAGCGGAATGTTAGATAATCAGAATAAGATAGTTCTCTCTAGATTCGAACGCTGAACTGCTGAGAGCATCACGCTCGATATATTTGAGCAGAGTTATTAGTGGTTGATCATAGCTCCGTCCACCCTAGTGCAAACCCTTCCCACGGTAAACTTGACCACCCTTCTTTTGTCTGCTCTGAACCATTTTTTCCGCATTCCAAAAAGTTTTTAAAGAGATGAATTTTTGGTCTTAGCCCCGCTTTCCTGTGCATGCTCCGCCCACTTCGGGGAATACATTTGTTCCATTACCTCTATCCACTTTTTTCCCGTATTCTAGGACGTTTCTGAACAAAGATCTCTTGATCTAAGCCCCGCCCACTTTGGCGCCAACCCCGCCCACTTCGAGGATTTGACCACATTTGTTCCATTACCTCTTACCACTTTTTTCCCGCATCCTAGAACATTTCCGAACGAAGTTACACTCATTTTTTAAAAGTAGCTTCTATCTTAACGCACGCCCCGCCCACCGTGGG